CCTTAACGTGACATGTGCCAGTTCGCTTTATTTTACTAATACATGTTCATTTCACGGCCTTTTAAAATGTGTGGCAAGCAATTAGTCGTCAAGGTAACAATATTTACATAACGTTAGGCAGTCAGTCATTGCAGCAAAAATTGCCGATGCTCTGGTGAAATAAATACCTCCGTTTGTGCATCTCGATTACAACTCGTGTGCTTTTTCTTAGCAATATGGTGCCATGTTCTTACAAGAAATGTTTTCAAAATTGTGAACACGTTTTAATTCGAATTGAAAAACATGTTCGTTAATTTGACATCACAATGACATTGACTGACTGATCATAGGTAGATTTCTGTTGGTGAGACTTGTTAGTTGATTGAGTAGGCTGACGTGATGAGAGTCTTGATACACGTACATACTACATTAACATTGACGTCGGACAAATTAAACAGGCCTTTACGCAGAAGCTATGTCACCACTACCGCAATGTGTACAGAACATGTTATGCTGCCTCCTAGAAACTGGTGGAAATCACATCACCGTGTCCTTGATATTAAAGCGGGCAGTCGTCACCTGCGCATGCGTCAGTTGGCCATAGCGTGTCATTGTTTACAAACAAGCGTCTACCAATAAGCCTTTGCGTTGTTAGCGTGTGTTATCGTCGCTTGGGACTCAATTCCCGCGCGTGCGCAAGTGAAGACCCCCTCCCGCTTTAAATTGCATTACACATATTGAACGTGAGGTGAACGAAAATGCACCGGTCACTTCACTTTACGCATATTCACGATTTCCAGGGGACAGCTAATACCCCCACCAGCATGGTGTCAGTTCAATAGTTGTTTCTATATGCAGTGAAAAACTTCCAAATCCGAACACCAAAAAAACTACCCGAGACAATAGTTCAGGTTTCCGCCGTGTCTGGCCAGTTTACATGGTGTTCAGTTCTGCCAGAGGTGTCCGTTAGTATATTGTATTTGATAATAGAGTTCTTCGTGGTTGATTTTCAGAAGCAAGACATTTTCAGAAAGTAAACTTTATTATTTTCATAGAAGAATTTTTTTAACCATGTTAACTATATATTTTATGAAAAACATTGTTATCTTCATGTGACCACGTGATTGCTAAGTGAATAAATATTTCAATGTAGATTCGAATGAGTACCGTGAAAATATTGAAAATGACACGACATGTTTTTCTTCTTGTAAAATGTAGAATGAAACATGAGTAATACTCGTTTAGGTTATCGTTTTGAGGCCATGAGGTTTGAATAAAGATATGCACTTATTTGCATATCGATAGACTATGTAAGATGGGCTGCTGCATTGATTTTTTTTTAAATGGTTATAAAATCTTCTGTGTTCAATGTTTTGACGGACAGTAAAAAGTGGATAATTGGGAAGCATCTAAAGATGTTCTACTGTTATTTCATACTTGACTGTGGGATTTATTAATTATTTAAAATACGTGCAAATTTAGTCATCCCAACAACGAGAGTTGTAAATTTTAATTGTTATTGCATTTATTGAGGTCCTTAATGTTAATTGAATAAATATCAAAAGCCAAGAAGTACGTTAAGTCGCGATTTAACACCCCGTCAACACCTTGAGTCAGGCGACTGTCACCCTTTGCATCTCAGTAATTGACGGACACTAAGTGTTAAGTTGTCTCCTTCAGTCCTTTTACGGCCAATTAAATACAAGATTCAACGAAACATTAGTTCTTTCACTTACTGGGATGTAACTTTTACTTACTTCTGTTACATCCGAGTTAATGTTTACCAATTTTATAGCTCACAAAATATTTGTAGACTATTGTCAAGTAATAGGAGAGGGTGCACTAGAAACTAGCTAGGATATATACATCGCAGTTAACGTATATGCATTCTTACTACCTTATACTAAAATATGAAGTAACACAGATAGAGGAAATGTCTCATGGCATGGAACAATAATGCTTTCTATTGTCCAGGTTATATGATAAATATTTTGAGTGTGTATGTATTAAAATATGCAATCATAGTACACATGCACAGTAAACAAAATTATGTGAATTTGCATTGGTGGTGGGAATTTCCATGCCAGTTTATAAAATTGTGAACAAATATTTTCGTAAATAATACTAATTCTCATTAGTGTGTATCATTTATGCAGATAATTATTTATAATATTTATACATATCTCATACACTTTGTATCATTTTAATTATACATGGTATTTCCAGATTAACACCGGTTGTTAATGGCACATACAACATTAGATTCTCAACTCCGATAAA